CCTCAAATATTATAATTTTCATGATCGATTATGATTCAAAGGGTCACTAGGAACCCAAAAAATTCGCGAGCCAAAAATACTCCTCGTGGTTTTTCAACCACGTAATTTTTTAAGAAAATTCGATTTTATTTAATAAAGTCACGTCCTTTGGAAGTGTGTACCTTTTAGTGCACCTCAAATATTATAATTTTCATGATCGATTATGATTCAAAGGGTCACTAGGAACCCTAAAAATTCGCGAGACAAAGATACTCCTCATGGTTTTTCAACCACGTAATTTTTTAAGAAAATTCGAATTCATTTAATAAAGTCACGTCCTTTGGAAGTGTGTACCTTTTAGTGCGCCTCAAATATTATAATTTTCATGATCGATTATGATTCAAAGGGTCACTAGGAACCCTAAAAATTCGCGAGCCAAAAATACTCCTCGTGGTTTTTCAACCACGTAATTTTTTAAGAAAATTCGATTTTATTTAATAAAGTCACGTCCTTTGGAAGTGTGTTACTTCTAGTGCGCCTCAAATATTATAATTTTCATGATCGATTATGATTCAAAGGGTCACTAGGAACCCTAAAAATTCGCGAGCCAAAAATACTCCTCGTGGTTTTTCAACCACGTAATTTTTTAAGAAAATTCGAATTCATTTAATAAAGTCACCTCCTTTGGAAGTGTGTACTTCTCGTGCGCCTCAAATACTTTTATTTCAATGATCGATTATGATTCAAAGGGTCACTAGGAACCCTAAAAATTCGCGAGACAAATATACTCCTCGTGGCTTTTCAACCACGTAATTATTTAGGAATATTCGATTTTATTTAATAAAGTCATATCCTTTGGAAGTGTGTAGCTTCTCGTGCGCCTCAAATACTTTTATTTTAATGATCGATTATGATTCAAAGGGTCACTAGGAACCCTAAAAATTCGCGAGTCAAATATACTCCTCGTGGTTTTTCGACCACGTAATTATTTAGGAAAATTCGATTTTACTTAATGAAGTCACGTCCTTTGGAAGTGTGTAACTTCTCGTGCGCCTCAAATACTTTTATTCCAATGATCGATTATGATTCAAAGGGTCACTAGGAACCCTAAAAATTCGCGAGACAAATATACTCCTCGTGGTTTTTCAACCACGTAATTTTTTAGGAAAATTCGATTTTATTTAAAAAAGTCACGTCCTTTGGAAGTGTGTAGCTTCTCGTGCGCTTCAAATACTTTTATTTCAATGATCGATTATGATTGAAAGGGTCACTAGGAACCCTACAAATTCGCGAGACAAATATACTCCTCGTGGTTTTTCAACCACGTAATTATTTAGGAAAATTTGATTTTATTTAATAAAGTCAGTCCTTTGGAAGTGTGTAACTTCTCGTGCGCCTCAAATACTTTTATTTCAATGATCGATTATGATTCAAAGGGTCACTAGGAACCCTAAAAATTCGCGAGCCAAAAATACTCCTCGTGGATTTTCAACCACGTAATTATTTAGGAATATTCGATTTTATTTAATAAAGTCATATCCTTTGGAAGTGTGTAGCTTCTCGTGCGCCTCAAATAATTTTATTCCAATGATCGATTATGATTGAAAGGGTCACTAGGAACCCTACAAATTCGCGAGACAAATATACCCCTCGTGGTTTTTCAACCACGTAATTATTTAGGAAAATTCGATTTTACTTAATAAAGTCAGTCCTTTGGAAGTGTGTAGCTTCTCGTGCGCCTCAAATACTTTTATTCCAATGATCGATTATGATTCAAATGGTCACTAAGAACCCTACAAATTCGCGAGCCAAAAAAACTCCTCGTGGATTTTCAACCACGTAATTATTTAGGAATATTCGATTTTATTTAATAAAGTCATATCCTTTGGAAGTGTGTAGCTTCTCGTGCGCCTCAAATAATTTTATTCCAATGATCGATTATGATTCAAAGGGTCACTAGGAACCCTAAAAATTCGCGAGGCAAATATACTCCTC